GATTAGATGAGATGAGATTACATTACGTTGCAGATTAGATAACATTACATTACATTACAGATTACATTATATTACATTACAGATTAGATTACATTACATTATAGATTAGATAAGGTTACATTACAGATGAGATTAGTTTACAGATTAGATTACATTACAGATTAGATTAGGTTACATTACAGATTAGATTAGGTAACATTACAGATTACATCAGATTACATTACAGATTAGATAACATTACATTACAGATTAGATTAGGTTACATAACAGATGAGATTACATTAGATTACATTACAGATTATTTATTTTAGACAGATTACAGATTATTAGATTAGATTAGATTAGATAAGATGAGATGAGGTTACATTACATTGTAGATTAGATTACATTACATTACAGATTAGATAAGGTTACATTACAGATGAGATTAGGTTACAGATTAGATTACATTACAGATTAGATTAGGTTACATTACAGATAAGATAAGGTTACATTACAGATTAGAATACATTACAGATTAGATTACATTACATTACAAATTAGATTACATTACATTACAGATTAGATTAGGTTACATAACAGATGAGATTACATTACAGATTAGATTACATTAGATTACATTACAGATTAGATTACATTACAGATTAGATTACATTACAGATTATTTATTTAGACAGATTACAGATTATTAGATTAGATTAGATTAGATGAGATTACATTACGTTGCAGATTAGATTACATTACATTACATTACAGATTACATTTGATTACATTACAGATTAGATTACATTACAGATTAGATTAGGTTACATTACAGATAAGATAAGGTTACATTACAGATTAGATTAGATTACATTACAGATTAGAATACATTACAGATTAGATTAGATAACATTACAGATTACATCAGATTACATTACAGATTAGATTACATTACATTACAGATTAGATTAGGTTACATAACAGATGAGATTACATTACAGATTAGATTACATTAGATTACATTACAGATTATTTATTTAGACAGATTACAGATTATTAGATTAGATTAGATAAGATGAGATGACGTTACACTACATTGCAGATTAGATTACATTACATTACATTACAGATTAGATAAGGTTACATTACAGATGAGATTAGGTTACAGATTAGATTACATTACAGATTAGATGAGGTTACATTACAGATAAGATAAGGTTACATTACAGATTAGATTAGGTTACATTACAGATAAGATAAGGTTACATTACAGATTAGATTAGATAACATTACAGATTACATCAGATTACATTACAGATTAGATTACATTACATTACAGATTAGATTAGGTTACATTACAGATGAGATTACATTACAGATTAGATTACATTAGATTACATAACAGATTATTTATTTAGACAGATTACAGATTATTAGATTAGATTAGATTAGATAAGATGAGATGAGGTTACATTACATTGCAGATTAGATAAGGTTACATTACAGATGAGATTAGGTTACAGATTAGATTACATTACAGATTAGATAAGGTTACATTACAGATAAGATAAGGTTACATTACAGATTAGATTAGGTTACATTACAGATAAGATAAGGTTACATTACAGATTAGATTAGATTACATTACAGATTAGAATACATTACAGATTAGATTA